TAAGCTATTGCTTATCTTTGTTCAACAAATTTCTCTGTGGTAATAAATATATCAATCTTAGCATGCTAATATCACTAACAATCATGGAGATGGTTGTAAATTAGTCGACTTTCCTAAATATACTTTATAAGCATTAAAAAATGGACCAAATGAATACTTTCTAGATTCCACTACTGGAGATCTTTATCTATATAGTAAAGTTACAGATGAGTGGTTACCCAAAGCTAATACTGGTCTACATAATAGAAGAGATGCCATGGAATATTAATCTATAGGTAGATTCGTTGTCAAATCTCCTACTTATAAACCTAAGTAAAATATATTGGCTAATTAAAATGAAATGCTTTGTTCAATCAAGAAATAATTCTTACATCATTGGCTCTTTAAAGGAGTATAAATGGAATTCCCAGTCAATTTAATACATCAATGGGACATACATGCTATCACCTTTACAAATCCAGATAGAGTATATCTTTTTATTAATAAAATCTAGAAATTCTTGGCTTTAGCTGAAAATAATTTAAGAGGACCATTGATTATAGAAAGTGACAATATTATTGCAACTATGTTTGAATTAGAGTCTAAATAAAAAGATACTATGAAAATATTATCAAATTTCATTGATAATGCTGTTAAATTAATAAGATTCAACAACACATATAATTCTGTTAGCATTACTAATGAAAAATACTTCTCTGTTAATAAGGGATTGGATAATATAGAAATTGTATTTTAATAAAAAAAGAAAATCTCTAATCTCAATCCAGAAGATTTACTCAAAAAATAATAAAAAAATTTCATGCTTGAATATAGAAAATTATTGAATAATGCAATCTAAGAAACAGAACGTGATAAAATATTCCATGTTGGTTTCTCTGTTAAAAAAGATCGATTACCAGAGTATTACTTTATTAATATAGTTTTGTTTAGCAAAATAATATTCAAGATAAAAATTACAAAGTTATTAGAAGAAAATCATTTTAATTGAAGAAAGCCTAATTCTTAAGATAATAAAGTCAAATAAATATTGGAGGAGATGATGAATAATAAATTAGAGATTTGTAAGATGAATCTCCAAGAAGAAAGTTACCATTTTCAAATGTTGTTACTACAGCAAGTACAAATAAAAGACTTCATTCTAAAATGAATTCCCATCCTAAAACACCTTTAACCATAGAAAATGAAGAAATTTATCCATAAGACCCTGATTTTCAAACTTTGTGTCAATCTACAGCCAGAAAAATATTACATCCAACCTTAGAAGATGAATTTCTTGGATCTAAAAAGATTTGGGTTCCTGGTTATCTATCAAAAGATAGATTTAAAGTAGCAAATACTCCTGGGACTCAACGTTCAATGAGAACATAAATTCTGAGAAATCATACAGAGTCCTTAGTATGAAATAATCATATTATTTTTAAATTATTAATAATAATTAATTATATTCTTAAATATTATAAATTTTGATATTAATTATAAATACAAGCCTTTTTAATTCTTTTAGTTGTTATTCATATTATATATTTAGTTATCTTACAAATTATTATTTTAAGCCATAAGACCATATCTTAAAATCGTGTAATCTACAACAATTTAATTGTAATTTATAAAAGTATGAAATTATCACATTAAATTATTTCAATATTCTTAATATATATTATAGAAAACAACATCTATTGATAAATTCATTTATAAATAATTTATTCTCCATTGTAATTTTATTATATGAAATTATCTTATATCGAGTTGAGAACATTATTGAGGCTTTTTATTATACTCATTCTTTAGTTTTTGTTTATTTTGACCTTAGTTAAGTTGAGTTGGATTTAATTTATCAAAATGGAATTTGATTTTAATTAATATGAATCTGGTTGATTAAAGAAAGATTTTCAGACCGTAATTGGGTTGAATAATCCTAAAGTAAGATAAAGTACAGTGAATTGAAAGATGATCAAAATTAAAGAAAGATGAAATAATTATAGTTATTACAAAATAAATTTAGGAAGTTCCAAAAATTATAATTATTAGATGGCGATAATTTATCAGAATAATCAAAGAACATTTGAATAAAATGATAAACAGAAAAAGATTAAATCCTAATTTATAGGATTTTTTTGACTTTTCTCCAGAATCAGCAAGAACTCAATAGTCAACAGTTTGGTTGAATTTGTAAACCTTAAATCAAAAAAAAAAGTTGATATTTTAGATACAAAGCGATTCTATTCTTAAAATATTTGTAAATAGGAATTAGATGGCATTCAATGTCTAGTTGAAGAATATCAAATAAAATGATAATGAATCCTTAATCCGATTATATAATGTCAAAGTCATTTAAAAGACTTAAGTTTTATATCTATTCATGCTTATACTAAGAATAAATAATAATTAATTAGAAATCTCCTAATGTAACTAAGAATGATAACGTTAGAAGTGATTAATCTAATTAGAGTTATTAAATTTAATTAATAAAAAATTTTAGAATTTTACATAGAAATTTTAAGCTAATTCTATAGATCATCTAGATCATAGAAAAAGTGTGTATTGCACATGTTTGTTAAAACCTATTAACTGGATTAACTAATAACACATTAAAGGAAACTTAGATGCATCATTTTAAGTTGATATCAAATCTCAAGTAGCTTATTTCATCAAGTCTAAAACTTGGAAATTTTATCAGATTAAAATGAAATGAGTTGGGAGTTGTTATATTAAATTCAAGTATATATCTAAAATTATTGTATATAAATTTCGTTTGTTTATTTAACAATGGTGGGGGTCTTTCGACCTCTAAAAATTTCTGTAAGTCACCGGTATGAGCCCAACCCACGGTAATCTTTAGTAAAAGGCGAAAAATTAGCACGTTATAGGTTGAGCTCGGTGATGAATAATTTATATATAATTTTAACTCACTTTATATATTTAATTAAATTTATAGATTTTATGGGTTTAAGCATAATTATTAAATAATATTTCATTAAGTAATTAATTATTCTAGTTACAAAAAGAGGATTTAAAACAAAATTCCAATAACTATGACTTTTAGGGAAATAATGTAAATCTTATTGTATGATACGAAAACCAATCTTTAATAAAATTGACTAATTAAATATAAATATTTGGTAATTCTTTTTGTATATATATAAATATATATTAAATATATTACAAATTTTCAGAGTTATTTTAAGCACTATCATAGTAAATCAGCAACATTAAATTCAATAAATAATAAACTTTTAATTATTTACAAAATAAAGTTTGTGTATCAAATAAAGTCTATAAATGAAATATTTTAATACAGATCAAACATGTACTAGCATAATATATTGATAACATTTAATTTTAGTATCAACATTAATTAATAGGCAAGCAAATTAAATTTTTTTATCATATGAAACAAATAAATATCATACACAATTACAAACATCAATCTATTCTATAATTGCTAATGATTAAAATCTATTCAAATATTTAACTTAAATTGATAATATATATTAATATTAATAAATAAATATATGAGTGAAAGCGAAAGTGAAAAATAAGATGCTTAAATGGATTATTACAAAGAAGCAGTGAAATTATATTACTATAATTGTATCTTGTACAATCATGTAAAGAATATAATAAATGGAGTTGGAAAAAGTAATGACAGAGAGAAATGATCTAAAAACTAAAGTGCTTAAATATGAACTACTAGGTGGAGAATTGGCATAATTAGATGATGATGAAATTATGAATTAATTGGAAGATAGAAAGAAAAAAAGTAGGAGAAGTGCTGCAGATATTGATCGACATTTTTTTTGTTCCTTTACTAATTGCAAAAAAGCCTATGGTACAGAAGCCTCACTTATATAACACTAAAGATTAAAACATGGATAAAATAATGGCATGGATGCATATTTTAGAATTTGATATAATTATACGTCAATTAAGGTTATTAAACTGTTATTAATAATCAATTTTTTATCTCAAGTAGAAAAATCATTTTCATAAAAAACATTCTTATTAAAATATCCTTCAATTAATAGCCTATGCAATACCTATTAAAATAATAATACTATATTTTCATTAAAATTACCAAAGTATTTACAATTGCCCAACAAAAATACTGAGAAGATTTTAAAGTGGACAATCAAACACTTTTCTAAATGCTATTAAAATGTTTTTATGAAAGATTTTTAATATTATTTCACTCCTAATCAATTTTAAAAAATAAAAACATCATTACAAAAAAAAAGTATCAATATTATGGAACCACAATTAAATGGATTTTTCAAAATGTTTAATTTATACTATTTTCATCAATATGCCTTCTAATGAGTTTTTTCAATTGAAGAAAATCATTAATTAAGTAGATTTAATTTCAAAAAACAAATAATTAAAATATTTTAATTACAATTGATCAATTAAGATAAATTAAGTTAACATTAGATTGCCCATATATATTTATTATTAGATAATCTCTAAAAATAAATAAAAGGCATATTTTTAGAAATCTCAAAAAAGTGGTTAAACTATTTAAAAAATTACAAATTAACTTCTTAAATAGGAATTAATTTAAATAGGATATTTGAGAAAAAATTTAAAATAACAATCTAATAAACATAAATACTTCAAACATTTTTTGGATTAGTACTTCAATAAAAGATAATTTAGATGGATTAAGGATTCCAGGATATATTGATTGAAATCAATTTCCATATTTATTCTGATATAGTTTATTTTACAAAGAAATATAGCGAACAGAAATTTAGAAGTTTGATAAAAAGATTATATATAATGTAATTAAAGTATAATTCATAATTTTATAGTTATATTCACAAATTAATAATAACAATTTGAATTATATTATACCTATTTCACATTCTTATAGAAATCTAAATAATTCATTTTTGTTTTCTTTCTTTTTACTGACAAAATTGATAAATACAAAAATGCTACTTCATTTTCCCCAAATTTTATCAATTCATTCTTATTTTAATTAATTTTCTAATTTTGTAATTATGGACTTTGTAAATGAAAAGTTTGCTGTCATACCAAAATCAATGAAGGTAAAAGTAATTCTTTAAGTGAGAGTGATGAAGAAATTCAAAAAAATATGGCACCAGAGAGCAATTCTTTCATCGAAAGAGCGAAATTTTTGTTGTTAAAAGGATAAATTTTCTAAAAAATATTTGTTTCAAAGAATATTCGAGAATCTTTATCTGATCCGAATGGCGCATTATAATTATTAGAAATAATTGCAAATTAATTACATTCATTACATGATGAAACATTAATAAAAGAATATATTAATGCTGTGAGTGAAATATTCAATAAAATCTAAGTATTAAGAATTAAAATTTTTAGATCACTAATTAATTAAAATAGTCTTATAGTGATATTTGCTTCAATATTTTTACAAAACAATATCAATAATATGAAATCATTAATTCTTGTGCAGAGATATTAAAATATTTAGATGACCTTGAGATTTATAAAGAAGGATTATATCTTGAGACCGATAATCAAATGTATCAAATACTAAAGATAATTGAAATATATTATCATAAGTTTACACCTGAATTAAAAAAATAAGCTCATCTTTAAATAAAATCTAGCATGAAGCATAAAGATGAAAGAGTTCGTAAAATAATTTCAGAAATATTACTAAGTAATCAATAATTATTAAAATCCATATTACGTGAATTTGATTGGATTGATAAATTTACTACATTAATTTATGATTCATCTAAAGATGTTAGAATGAGCTCAGCAAAATTATTTTTAGCTACATATGAGCTGAATGAGGAGATTCATAAATCCAGATTATTACTTTTATTAGAAAATATAATTAAATAATTAGATTCAACTTAATTTGAGTTTTGCCAATCAATATCATAATATGTATTATTTAATCAAAATATTTAGAGCTTAAATTAAGATAATTTGTAATCACTTTTGATTGAAAAAATTACTGAAATCATAAATCATAGTAATGAGAATGCATTTCGATTTTTAGAATCATTACATAAATATTATTCAATAATAAAATAATTTAATGAGAAGTACTCTATTTTCATTGATGAATTATTATTAAATTCTATATAAATCCTTTCAGAAGNTATTATACCTATTTCACATTCTTATAGAAATCTAAATAATTCATTTTTGTTTTCTTTCTTTTTACTGACAAAATTGATAAATACAAAAATGCTACTTCATTTTCCCCAAATTTTATCAATTCATTCTTATTTTAATTAATTTTCTAATTTTGTAATTATGGACTTTGTAAATGAAAAGTTTGCTGTCATACCAAAATCAATGAAGGTAAAAGTAATTCTTTAAGTGAGAGTGATGAAGAAATTCAAAAAAATATGGCACCAGAGAGCAATTCTTTCATCGAAAGAGCGAAATTTTTGTTGTTAAAAGGATAAATTTTCTAAAAAATATTTGTTTCAAAGAATATTCGAGAATCTTTATCTGATCCGAATGGCGCATTATAATTATTAGAAATAATTGCAAATTAATTACATTCATTACATGATGAAACATTAATAAAAGAATATATTAATGCTGTGAGTGAAATATTCAATAAAATCTAAGTATTAAGAATTAAAATTTTTAGATCACTAATTAATTAAAATAGTCTTATAGTGATATTTGCTTCAATATTTTTACAAAACAATATCAATAATATGAAATCATTAATTCTTGTGCAGAGATATTAAAATATTTAGATGACCTTGAGATTTATAAAGAAGGATTATATCTTGAGACCGATAATCAAATGTATCAAATACTAAAGATAATTGAAATATATTATCATAAGTTTACACCTGAATTAAAAAAATAAGCTCATCTTTAAATAAAATCTAGCATGAAGCATAAAGATGAAAGAGTTCGTAAAATAATTTCAGAAATATTACTAAGTAATCAATAATTATTAAAATCCATATTACGTGAATTTGATTGGATTGATAAATTTACTACATTAATTTATGATTCATCTAAAGATGTTAGAATGAGCTCAGCAAAATTATTTTTAGCTACATATGAGCTGAATGAGGAGATTCATAAATCCAGATTATTACTTTTATTAGAAAATATAATTAAATAATTAGATTCAACTTAATTTGAGTTTTGCCAATCAATATCATAATATGTATTATTTAATCAAAATATTTAGAGCTTAAATTAAGATAATTTGTAATCACTTTTGATTGAAAAAATTACTGAAATCATAAATCATAGTAATGAGAATGCATTTCGATTTTTAGAATCATTACATAAATATTATTCAATAATAAAATAATTTAATGAGAAGTACTCTATTTTCATTGATGAATTATTATTAAATTCTATATAAATCCTTTCAGAAGATATGAGAAATTATGACATATTAAAGTGTTTGTCAAATTTATATTCTAGTTTATCATAGGATATGTAATTTAAAGTAATTTAAAAATTATTTCTTAATTTTGAATTTAATTAACTAATATTTATCCCTTATTTATATGAAATTATTGAGAAAGCAACATTAATAAATAAAAATAAAATTTGGCTGTAGTAACTTTAAACAATATATGAAATGTTTAAAAGAAATGTTTTTTAATATGAAACAAAAGGTTTGTGGAATGAAATATCAAATATGATTGATATTATGAAAATAATATCTAGAATCTTATTTTTACAGAAGGATTTTTTACAATAATGTCTAAAAATGAGTCATATGGGTTCAAAATAAATTAGAGATAAAATAATGAATTTTTTGATAGAAAAAATTGTAGAATTAGACTCTCTCGAAAGTAGAGATTAAATAATTCAAAATTATACAGGATTTATTAATCATTAAAATTACTAATTAAGATAATTATCAATAGAGTTCATTATTAAATTATGTTAATAAAGATCGAGAAAGTTCTTTATTTCAAACAACTTAATAAATGTATTATAATTGTAGTATGATCCGGTTGCTTTAGTAAGAGCGAAGATTCCAAAATTGCTTTTTTACATAAAATTACTATTTTGGAATGATGAAAAAGAAATTCTTAGTAGAATTGTTTAAATCTTCTAGAATCTGATGAACGATAAGAAATTATATATTTAATAAGTACATACTTATATAATAAGATCTCCAAAGACTTTTGGGCCGAACTAACAAATATTTAATTTTCGAATGCATAAATGACAATAGAATAAAACTAGATTATGGACGAAAGAGAACAATAAGAATATGCAAATTTAAAAGTATAAAAAAATAATATTAGATGATTAAATAGTAATTGTTACTTAATCCTAAAAATATTAAAAATGAAGTCAGCAAATCCAGAAATCAAACTCCGACATAAAGATTACCACCATTAAATAAAAGATAAAATAATTTCTTGTAAGTTCCTAAAGGCCCTTAACCAAGAAAAACATCTGCTCAAAGAGTTATTTAATCAAAGTCTCCACAACCCTTTAAATGATTTATTATATATTTTAAAATGTTCACATTTAGAACAATTTACAAATTTACAAACAAAACAGTTGATACAGAGGCTCTGTTAAAGAAACTCTAGACAAAATCTTTAATCACTTTAACAAGAGACAATTATTAATTGAATATGGGTCTAATGATCCAAAGAGATATAATATTTCTTCATTATACAGAGGAGGAAATGAAACTTAGAAAATTCAGATATTAATTAGGTAATCATTAAGGATACATGCTTAATAGAAAAAAGAAACAATTATATAGCAAAATTGCCAAAAGAATTGCATGAGTACACTCATTTTACGGGGGATTAGAATGTTTTTGGAGACGATACACCAACCCATGTAAGATTGGTTGGGGATGTCCGTACAGTATTTTTAGAAAATAGCAAATTCTTTAAGCATTGTGGTATAAATGTAATTTAATTCTTAGATCCAAATGAAAAAAATAATAAGCTGATTTAATACAATTCTTTGCACACAGTATACTTATTGGTTAAATAAAATGGTATATGGGGTTTTCCAAATATCAATATTGAAGAGAAAGAAACTTTTTAGGAAACATAAACAAAATTATTCGAAAAGATGACATAAAATTCATGGCAAGTATTAATATATTATCATTTAGGTATACTACTTTAATAGAGACCCAAGATTAGTGACTGTTGATCCTAATCCTGATGAAAATGCAAAAATTAAAGGAATTAAAACAATCTATTTTTAAGCCAAACACTTACAAGGAAAAGTTTAGATTTTTGGATATGATGATTGGGCTTGGGTTTCTAGACTGGAAATGAATAAATATCTAACAGAGAATGCTTATAACTAAGTTATCCATGCTTTAGATTTGTGAGTTTATATTTTAAAGTATATTAAGAGAATTTTATATTTTCTGTTTTAAATAAAGTAATTAAAACATAATATTAATCAAATTTTAAACTTAGGTTTCAAAGACTTTTTTTTTGGAAATATTTCTCTATTCTCTTTATCACAACTAGGTTCTTGTAAAGAATAGCTTATATTTCTTAATGGTTATTTTGTAATCAATTCAATTGAATAATTATGCCTTTTCTTTAAAGGAGAATTTGATAAAAAGTCTTCATTTATATTATTTGAGATTTATTTCAGCTTATTTTTCAAATCCTAATTTGTAGAACTTAATTTATGAATTGAAACTTAATTTTCTTAATGAACTAATTTTAATGCTTAAATTTCTTATGTATAACCATCTAATTTTTTTGCTAAAAACCTTTCAAATTAAAATAATTGCTTATTTATATTGCTCATCATCTAATTATAATCTATTTTCAAATTTATTTCTCTAATTACCCATGCACAAAGCTATTTATACTCTATTAAAACACTTTCAATGAAATTAGTGTTTGTGCATGATTTTTTTGATAAACAATTTTATTAAGAACCTCCACTAAAATGAAGATTAAACTACTTACTTGTAAGGCACTCTTAATGGAGTTATTGATTATTCTGATTTGCAGGAGGCTCTATAATTATGAGAAATGTTTGAAATTGTGCTCATCATTGTCTTCATATTATTCGTTAAAATAATAATCAAATTATATATTATACTAAACTTGCAATTATCAATAATTCTCAATATTAATTATAAATTATAAACAATATTTATTTATATGTAAAACTTCAAATTTTTCATTTTTCCTGATTCATGAAATTATATTTTTGGATAATTTAAGCAAAACACCATTAGTTTGCTGGAATTCTACATTAATGTATATAATATGATGATCAAGAAAAAAACTTCCAAAAACGATTTTAGGAGATTTAGATCAAAATTTTGTGAATTCTATTTTAAATTCTACAAAAATTAATCAATCTTCCATCAAATAACAAATAACGTTTTAAATAATAAAGCTTTTAAAATTAGGAATGTAATTTACGATTGACCTATCCCAGATACTTTAAATATCATATTATTATTAAAGAGGATTCAATAACTTTATGCCAAAATATATTTCAAAGAAATAATTTTAGAAAAAGCCTTATGCCAATGTTAACCTAATGCATAATATTAAATCTTTTTACAAAATAATCTGATTATGGAATAATTAGTGCTGAATAAGAATAATAAAAAAAAAAAAACCAACCATTCATTAAGAAAAAGTGTTCCTTTTATGTTAATTATATGATAAAAACATAAAATCTTCTAAGAATTCAACAGGTATATGTAAAGTAAGATTAAGACTGAAAGGAGTTATGTCAACACATAGAATTTTTTTAGTCTAGTAGATAAACGATGATTTTTGTAAATTAATTGAATAAAATAAAATCTTAGATATCATGTGAAGGATTCAAAAAGATCAAAATGAACTAATTTCCATTAGAAAAACTTAAATATAGCGTTTTCAATACTACCCGAAATGAGAACTTTGAAATTCTATTAAATAATTTAACATAAAATACTCCAGGAAATACCATAAAAAAAAATAAAATATAAATTGATTTGTTTTTTTAAACTCCCTCATTCGATATTAATTAAATTAGACAGATAAGGATTCTTATAATTCAATAAAGCTATTTCATTTAAAAGAATATCATATTTATGGATAAAATCAACAAATTTTTGAAAAATCTTAAACAATTTTTCAATAAAAATATAATTTTAATAAACCCCCTTTTATTTAGAGCAAAATTTGTTTTACTTAGTAAAGTCAATCTAAATAAAAATGAATTTAGATTTATCATAAAACTTAGTGATCCTTTTAAAATTAGATTGAACTAAGATTTCTGCCTAAGTTAAACAAACTCTTAAGTGTTAAAATGCCAATAATTAATAAGCATTAATAGGATTTCTTATGTTAGAAAAGTCTGATGGGCACCATCAAAAAAATAATTCTAATTAACATATACTTAAATTAGCTCATGAATGATTTTACCAGCACATAAATGTATAATGAGAACTAATATTTTAAAGAAATGAGTCAAATTATTCTAAGAGCACCTTGATGATCTCTTAATACCTAATTTTTTTTAATATATGTGTACGAATCATTATTAATAACAAAAGTAATAAATAGTTTTATCTTATATATTTTTTAACAAAATAACATTCAAAAATGAATAAAATATCAGGATAACAGCTTTAAACATAGGGTTTTATAATTGAAATTATTCTTATTATATTGATTGTTAGCATGAATCCTACCTTATCAGAGTCAAATTAGAAATAAATCAAGAGAAATTCTAAATAGTTTTTAGAAGAAAGTTTTAAAAATCTAACGATTAAAAACAACCTTACAGAAAAAGAGAAAGTATATTTTCTTCAGTTTCATTATTCTATAATTTATATTCATTTATTAATTATTTACTTCAGTTTTAGTATATGCATATACTATGAATTTATTATTTAAATAATTTATCGAAAATATATTAATTTTATTTAATGCATATCATTTGAATTTATCTTTTACCTAATTTATCAAATTTTGAAACAATTTAATAAAAGAATGTGTTATCATTTTATTTTTTTAATAATCTATCAAAATTAACATAAAGTATAAAATTAAAAAGATATTTTAAAAATATTAATGCAAATCACTTAGTACTTAAGAGTTAAAATCAAAAAACATATTTATATAATTAAAAAATTATTATTATCAAAATTTTTTTAATAAATTAAAATAATATAAATTTACAATTTTTAAATATTTTCCATATTACTTATTTAATATTTTTGAAATAAACTAGTTAAATATTCTATTAAGTTTGCTATGATTGAATATTTTTCTGATAATTATAGCTATTTGCGCTCTAAGAGTTTAATTATCAACGATTTATTAAACTATATCTCTTGATCTTTCTGTATTTAAGCTAGCATAATGATAGGAAAGTCTCTAATTTCATACAAGCGGGATATATAAGGATAGTGTCTTGTTAGATTGGCTTGGTTATTCTTTTTTATGAATTTATATATCAGTTTACTATTATTAGAGTCAGGTATAATTTTGGTTTCATTAATATAAGGTTGAATATGTTGATAAAGAAAACTTCCTTTTTAGTAAATTTTACTTAAATTGGAAGATTTGTGTGTAATATAATCTGCTGTATAATGAATATTTCATAAATATTATTCCTCTATAATTTCAACATTGATATCTGAACTTTTGATTTTCTTACTTCTTGTTCTTCCCTCTACGGTGTTACTGATATTTTCATTTAGTAATTTGAACTCTTTTTATATATTTTTTTTAAAAACTGCCTATCATATTTTTTAACTAAAGCATAGAATCAGAATATTTAATTATAAAGAAAAAGAAGGAGATGAAATTCATTTTAAGATTCAAAAATAGACATCACATCTATTTTTAGATACATTACTAGAAAAGCAAAACTTGAATTACAGAATTAAAGAATAGTCCTTCAAATAGTTTATAATAAAACACTGGATAAAGAATTAGAATTATAAACTAATTATAATTTTAATTTGTTAAATCTAGGTAATCATTGGATTCAAAAAAAGAATTAAAGTCATTTTAAGTGTTACATTCAGCACAATAATCGATCCTAAAAAAAAATTTAGAAGAATATTTAGGTATAGACTCATTAACATAAGANTTTAAAAATATTAATGCAAATCACTTAGTACTTAAGAGTTAAAATCAAAAAACATATTTATATAATTAAAAAATTATTATTATCAAAATTTTTTTAATAAATTAAAATAATATAAATTTACAATTTTTAAATATTTTCCATATTACTTATTTAATATTTTTGAAATAAACTAGTTAAATATTCTATTAAGTTTGCTATGATTGAATATTTTTCTGATAATTATAGCTATTTGCGCTCTAAGAGTTTAATTATCAACGATTTATTAAACTATATCTCTTGATCTTTCTGTATTTAAGCTAGCATAATGATAGGAAAGTCTCTAATTTCATACAAGCGGGATATATAAGGATAGTGTCTTGTTAGATTGGCTTGGTTATTCTTTTTTATGAATTTATATATCAGTTTACTATTATTAGAGTCAGGTATAATTTTGGTTTCATTAATATAAGGTTGAATATGTTGATAAAGAAAACTTCCTTTTTAGTAAATTTTACTTAAATTGGAAGATTTGTGTGTAATATAATCTGCTGTATAATGAATATTTCATAAATATTATTCCTCTATAATTTCAACATTGATATCTGAACTTTTGATTTTCTTACTTCTTGTTCTTCCCTCTACGGTGTTACTGATATTTTCATTTAGTAATTTGAACTCTTTTTATATATTTTTTTTAAAAACTGCCTATCATATTTTTTAACTAAAGCATAGAATCAGAATATTTAATTATAAAGAAAAAGAAGGAGATGAAATTCATTTTAAGATTCAAAAATAGACATCACATCTATTTTTAGATACATTACTAGAAAAGCAAAACTTGAATTACAGAATTAAAGAATAGTCCTTCAAATAGTTTATAATAAAACACTGGATAAAGAATTAGAATTATAAACTAATTATAATTTTAATTTGTTAAATCTAGGTAATCATTGGATTCAAAAAAAGAATTAAAGTCATTTTAAGTGTTACATTCAGCACAATAATCGATCCTAAAAAAAAATTTAGAAGAATATTTAGGTATAGACTCATTAACATAAGATGGGGTAGGCTGGAATAAAAGACAGGTTACAGAAAAAATTCGATAAAATTTATTAATTAGATGGTGCCGAGTAATAAATTTTTTTGTAAGAATTTAGTATAATTTATTTCTTTAAATCGATATGATATTATTATGAATACAATTCAATATTTATTTTTTGGTTAATTTGGTGGTTATTTCTTTTAAAGTTGTTTATTGATTTTACGAACTAAATGAAATTATGTTATAAAATTTTTTTGAGAGATAAAGAAACTTTTTAATTAATTTTAATATATTGATTTTTATAATAAAATTAGTTTTATTAATTTTAAATGGACTACACATTGTTATACATTTTATTATACTAATATACATAACATATTTTATCTCAGGTATTCTTTTGCACTTAAAATTGATTTGACATTTTAGAATTTTTATACAACATAGATTTATAAAATGAATTTAATTTATTAATAGAAATTAAAAAATTAAGGATGGATTCGAAAGTAACAAAAAAGGATTATAATAATGAAATGGAGCTAAAATAGTAATCAGAAATCGAAATTTCAAACTAAAATAAGATATTAGAAGGATTATAAGTACAATTAGCTTAACTTGAAAAAGAGAAGGAGGAATTATTAAGATAGTATAGTAAAAATGACCAGGTAATTTTAAATTAAATTCTAATTAGGATATTAATCGTTTTAAACAAGCCAAATAAGATTATTTCAATTAAGGAAAGGCCAAACTTGAAGATTTAAACAACTAATTAGAGAAAGCAAAAGCGGAATAAAGTTAGTGTAGTTAAATTGACTAAAATTTGCATTAAGAACCTACAGTAGTTAGGTTGAATATCAAATCAAAAGTATACTTTAGTATTCTAATTTAATTAGCAAATTGAAGATGAAAATGGGAAGTTGAAAGTTTAGGTTGAATTTGATAATAACTATACATAAATTGAAATCCAAGAAAAATTGTTGGATGATAAAAAATCTGTAGAGTTGCAAGGTTATGCAATTCTAGGTTTCACTTTGTTTTTCTTTAATCAAAAAATAGAATTGCAAAAGCAAGTTTAATAGAGAGAATCAATTTAGTTAGACGGACTTGAATTGATTATAATATATAAATGATAAATATATGTACAATTTAATAGTAAAATAATAAAAAAGGAAGCTAAACCTCTATATCTCTGTCTCTTAAAGCGATGTTTATGGAAAATAAATATTAAGAAATATATATTAAATTCGAAAATGGAATCCATCTTAAGCATTATATATGTACTTTAGAGAGTATAGATACATAACAATAATAATTTAAATACAGATTCATAATTTCAATTAGAATTTTATCAAAGATTCTAAAGTCACCTATTCATATTAAAAATGTTACTTGAGATTCATTCAAAAGATTCATATTATTTCAAATTCCATCTTCTCCTAAATTTTTGGCCAATATTAGGATAGATTTGAAAATCAAATAAGGAAGCAGAAGCTTAATTATCAAATTTGATAGTTAAAATTATTTATTTTAAATGAGAAAATAAGCAGAATATGAACTTTATAAACGTCTTAAATTACTAGGAGAAGGATCATTTGGGAAGGCGTATTTGGTAGAATGCCTTTAGGATAAGTAGATTATGCTTGTAATTTTTAGGTCTTTGTGGGTCACCAAATACATGGATTTAGCTGCAATGACTCCTTAAGAGAAAGATGAAACCTTGAGAGAATCTAAAATTCTTGAATTTTTATCTCATCCAAATATTGTGAAGTTTAGAGAAGTTTATAAAACAAAAAAAGGGAGATTGTGCATCGTTATGGAGTATGCTGATGGTATTTTTAACATTAATCAAAAGGTGGTGATTTGTCATAAAAAATCAAAGAGGCTAAAGGCAAATAACTTCCAGAAGCTCAAATTTTAGATTGGTTTACTCAAATATGTTTGGCTATTAAACATGTTCATGATAGGAAGATTATTCATAGAGATTTAAAAGGACAAAACATATTCCTAACGAAAGAAGGTCAAGTTAAATTAGGAGATTTTGGAATTGCGAGAATTTTGAAAAAAACAGTAGAAAAAGCTAAGACAATGGTTGGGACACCTTATTATATAAGTCCTGAAATAATAGAAGGCAAACCTTATACATTTATGACTGACATATGGTCATTAGGAGTAATATTATACGAACTTTGTGCTTTATAACCACCCTTCAATGCTGAATCACTTCATTTTCTTGCTTTAAATATAGTTAAAGGATAATATAAGCCTATTCCTGCAAATTACTCGAAAGAATTGAAGTAGCTTGTCTAATCGTTATTGCAAGTAGATTATCGAAGAAGACCTACAATATAAGAAATTTTAAGTAATGATCAATTTCATATTAATAGAAATGCCAGTTATTACAAATAGAATTAAAAGCTTTTTAAGTGAAACCATATAGAGATAAGAATTTTCACATACTGTTTTCCATAATAAAGTTTTTGAAGTCAAAGGAAATTTAAATTAAGTTAATCTGATATTAAATGAATAACCTTGTCCACCATAATTATTAGAACAAAATGCCAAGAATTTATAAGAGTTTCCAGATATAGTTAAAAAACCATCTATTCAAGAATTTGAAGCTGTTAGACCACCTTAATTATCTAAATAATAATAATAACCATCATCTCGGTAATCTGATCCTTAAAAAGAAACACCAAAAATAATATAATAAGAATAATAAAGATAGTAAGATTAACAAAAATAAATTGATGTTCCTAGAAAAATAGATCCAATTACAAAAAATTCACCTTTATTGTAAAAAAAAGATATCTCTAAAGTAACACCACCATAGAAGGAAATTAAAAAGCAATCACCTTAATAATAATATCCTTTAAGACCCAACAGTGATTAAGAAAAATAATAAAGAAGTGAACCATGCAAATTTGATGCCTAAGATTAAAAAAAACATTCAAACAGTAGCGAATAACCAAAACATTAATAAAAAATAGATTAACCAAGGTTAAATTTTAATTAAATTTCTTTAGACCTCCTACTGCTCCAAAAGAAAAACCAAAAATTTAAGTAGCCCAATAAAGACCTTAAAGTTCAAAGCCATAAATTTAAGAATAAAAAGTAGTTTAAAAAGTGAATATTGAAAAGAAAAGGCCAATAAGTGTGGATAAATCTCCAGTTATCCAGCAATAATAATAAAAATAATTACAATTAGAATAATAGCGACAAGAAGACAGAAATCGTTTGTTGAAATTAAAATAACAATAGGAGTAATAAGAAAAAGAAAGGAAAGAAAAGAGAGAGAAAGAATTATAAATTTAATAAGAGTAATAGCTTGAAAGACAAAGATATTTTGAAAAATAATAACAGTTAGAAAAATAATAATAATTAGAAAAACAAAAATAATAATAATAATAATTATTAGAAAAATAAAAAGAATAAGATCGAATCAAGTAAGAAGAGAAATAAAAAAATATTTAAAATTAATAGGTTTCTAAAATGGATATTAATAGGAATGAGTAATAAAAATAAAATTTAGAAAGATAACCATCATAAAAATCATCTCAATTAGAAGGCAAATAAAATGAATCTAAGTCTTAGTTGAAATCAAAAGCTGATTAACTATAAAAGATTGAAAAGAATGGCAAAGATTTTGCTTTGATGCTAAAAGAATTAGAAGGCTTGGTATATATTAAATTAAATTAAGATTAATAATGTTCATAATGCAATTGATAAATTTCCAAGCTAAGGAGGAAAAGAAAATTATTTTGATTTTAGTTCTATATAGACATTGTAATTAGAGGATAGAGAGGATGATGAAGATGAACCTATAAATTAATTTGATAGGAAACCAAAATATATGATAAAGTAAATATCAAAGGAAGAAGAGGAATGTTTAGAAATGTTAAATAAATAAGACTCCAATATATCTACTCTAAAAATCAAATTAGAAAATGCTCTTGGAACAGAAAAGATGAACAAAGCAAAAAACATTTTGAAATAAACTGTAATGTTATTATTTATGAATAGCTAGAGAAAATGGATTTAGAAACAATGGAAAAATAATACGGACCTAATTATGAAAAATTATTACCATTTTTAACTTTAGAAGAAAGAAAAAAATATGCACCCCTCTTATTTACTTATATTATAGCTGGATGATAGATTTGATTAGTTATAAAATAATATTAAATATAATAAAAATATATTATAAAAGAATTTTGGTGAATATTTATCATTATCAAAATTTCAGGATGCTTTTTTGAAAATAGTAAAAGAGAAAATAAATGAATAAAAAGTCATGGCCTATGTATATAAATGGTTTTATTAATTGAGAATCAGGGAATTGTAATCTTCTTTGGCTCATTGTCTTATTTAGAGACTTGCCAATATATTCTCATCACAATCAATTTTTTAATTAAATTATTTAAAACACCAGTATGACAGATTTTGCTTTGACAACATTCAGCAGTAAAGGCAAGTTGTTGCAAATTGAATATGCATTAAATGCTGTAGCAAAAGGAGATACAGCTATAGGAATTAAGGCTAAAAATGGTGTTGTTTTGGTAGTGGAAAAGAAATAGTCATCAATTTTGATTGAAGAATCAAGTGTTCAGAAAATTGCTTTGATGACTGATAATATTGCAGCTACATATGCTGGTTTGGGACCAGATTTTAGAGTGTTATCATAATAAGCAAGAAAATTAGTGAAGAAATATGATTTGAAATATCAAGAGGAGATATTTGTATAAACATTAAGTAGAGAATTAGCAGAGGTATAAATAATAATTAAAATTAGGATGTATAAATAGCTACATAAAGAGGTGGAATAAGACCATTTGGTGTATCCATACTTATAGCAGGATATGATGAAGAAGGTCCTCATTTGGTGTAACTCGATCCAAGTGGTGCTTATTATAGTTGGAAAGCAACAGCTATTGGTAAGTAAGCCAAGAATGCTAAGGCATTTTTAGAAAAGAGATACAATGCAGATATGGAAATTGAAGATGCTATTAATACAGCTTTATTAACATTGAAAGAAGGATTTGAAGGTATATCTATTTATATATTTTTAAGGATAAATAACACCCACAAACATTGAAGTTGGAGTGATTAGAGATGATCATGTATTCAGAATATTACCACCATCTTAAGTAAAAGACTATTTGGAAGAATTAGAATGATAATTGATTATGAGAAATTTATGAAATATAAATTAATCCTGATATAATTCATTTCTTTATACACATTGAAAATATTCCTAAAAAGTAGAATATACAACTGATTGTTGGTAATATTTTGAAGGAATGATGTAATAATAATACTAGTAATTAAAATCCAATAATTGCACTTTCAGCCATCTCATTTGGTATTTTCACTTCATATTTTAACCATTAAAAAAATGTGAAAATGATTAATACTGGAAAGGATGCTAGATAAACAAAAAATGAGTTTTCAATTTTATCTGAATAGAATCCAAAGTTAAATAAAGACATCATTATCATAAATACTCCTTTATATAATTGTAGATTTTGGATATGAAATTTATAGCGTTCTTGAATCATTCCAGATCCAGTTTGACACACTTATCCAAAAACTAAAGCCCAAACAGCTAAGATTCTATCATTACTCATAAGATTCAAAGTAAATCCAAATAAAAATAAAATTGAACTCAAGTTATTTTAGAGTTTGATACTGTGAACAAACAATGATTTAAAATTGAAAACTAGCATTATCACTAATAAATCTATTTTACGTAGTGCTGCAAATAAAGTGAAATAGCCAATCGCATCTTATATATTAATAATAATTACTTAATCCTCCAATCAAGGCCATCATTAATGCATCATATTAAGATTCAAAAACATATTAAGATCTCTGAGAGTCAAGCAATAAAATAAATCCATATTAGATTGACAATGTCACATAATTTGGTTCTAATTCTTTTAATATGACCATTATGCCTAAACAACCTATAGCATTAATTGCCATTAATAGTTTTGAAGAATTATTCTGTCCAATTAATGAATCAAGGTAGTCTATGTTTAACATTTATATAATTTAATTAAATCAATGAGGTTTAGGTTTGTGACCATCAACATAGAAATTCCTTGTAGCTTTTGGTAATTATATTATAACATTCTCAAATTTCTCATCAACTTATACTTAACATCCTAATCTGGATGTTTCTGTCAATCCATAAGCTAGATCTAAGAGATCTTCTTCTTCAGGTATAGGCTATGTCAATTTATCATATAATTATTCTATATCAAATTCAAATATATTACTTGGTAAGATTACATGACAAGTAGAACAGGCTAGAGATTATTCACATGCTCCTTCTAAATCAATTTCGTTTTTATGTGCGATTTATAATAAATTCTATCCAATTAGTGCTGTAACCTTTGTTAAGGAATTATCTTTATTTTTAAAAAAGAATGTCACCATTTTTTATGAAGAAGCATTGTATTTACTAAAAAGTCTGATCATCAAAATTATATAATTATGGTAATTATTACATTAGATTAATTGATTCATAATATATTTTCTACTAATTTTAAAAAATCCTATTGTGGATTAATGTCTACTTACTTAGGAAATTTAATAACACTTTTTCAAAACTCTATACATATTAATACTAAATAAATAAATACATAAACTAATGGTAATATCAAGTAGAACAAATTAAAATAGAATTTCTATAATTGAAATTTATAAACCATTTATTTTAGTATATAATTAAGTTTCATTCAACTTTCCATTAATTTTGATTATGGATACTTAAATGATTTAATTGTAAATATTAAAAATACTAAAAAATAAAAGAAATAAAGTTCTTGCATATTTAAAAAAAGAACTCTTATTTGAGATACCAAAAGAAGTCATTGTTAATAAAATCTTTAATGAAACAATAGATATTGATGAAAATCAGTTTCAGAAACTTGATAATTTAATATTATAGGTATAAATTATAGATTTATCTATTAGAAATATAAATAACTAAAGGTATCGAATAAAAATTTGATTATGATTTCGATGACACATTTAATTTGATTTCATTAATGATATGATATGAAATTGATTGAATATTCATACTAAGTAAAAGGGCTTTAAATTTAAGTTTAGTTCATATATAAAAATATACAGTTTGGATCAAAACTGTTGTTTTCAAGTATAAAATAATAATAATTATTGATACTCTTATTATTTTTGTCTATAATATTGTGATTATTACTAATTATATTTAATTATTAGATGACCCAAAAAACAGGATAGTTTGGAATTGTGTTAGGGATTATTGTAATATTGGATATAATTAATTGTATATTGATTAAGGAAATTCCAATAACAATTTGTAATTCTTTGATTTTGTTGATTTGCATAAGTAAATTTGTCCATTCATATAAAAAGTACATTACTTTATGAAAATAAAGAATAAAAAATGTGAAGAGCTCTTATTATTTTCATTGTTCATTCACAATGCAGTATAGATATACTATTATGGAATGAAATCATTGTGGTTTTTAATTTATCTTTTACAGATATTCAAATAAGAAAAACATAATAAAATACTTAAATATTGTAAATTTATTTAATTAGCTATCAGTATAACTATTTATTCAATTTAATATGATGGATTGTTGGATAATGCTTATTTTTAATAACTAAATAATTATATTGCTATTTTTATTTATCAAATAATCAATTAAAATAAATATGATTCAAAAATTGACAAAGCAGAAAATTTAATTATTTAAGAAATAAAAAAATTAATAATTTTTAAATTATTTGATCAATAATTTAATGAGATATCAAAGACAACTTCTAATTAATATATTCAAATCACCAAAAATCAATAGGATGAAAATCAACATTTTCAAATTAAGGCTTATTAAGATAAAGAAGTAGCCTTTACTCCTTAGAATTAATGTGATTGGAAACCTACCTAACTATTTAATGATTATTAAAGTTTTATTGAACATATTCATAATTTACAAAGTTTAGATTCTTAAATGTGCTATCATTATATTGCTATATAATATGATATAGTAAAGAAGATTAAAACAAAATATAAAGTATTATACAAAGAACTTGGAAAATAAGACTTGATAATAATTGCATTAGTTCGAATAGATAATTTCACAGAAAAATAAATGATTTTGAAATTCAATAAATTTAAAAAATACTTCTATGATATTTTTGCTCATAAATTAAAAACACCCTTAAATGCTTCTTTAGGCTTTTTATCATCTGCTTACAATTATACAGAAATGGACAATAATATCAAATAAAATTATATTAAACCAGCTTATATTAATTCTAAATTGTAATATTTTTAAATATCAGATCTTTTGGAATTTTTAAATCCATAAAGTGATTAAACTAGAGTATAATATTGTAAAATTAACATGAAATCATTTTTGTATACACTTAATGAATTAATTGAATCCTAATGTTAAAATAAGAAGATCCTCTTTCAGGTTTATGTAGAGAGGGTTCCCTTAAATAATATCGAGAAGTAAATTCTTAAATTTATCTATTTTATAGATTTTATATTTCATCTGATCTATTGAAATTAGAGAGAATTCTATACAATTTGTTAAATTTAACATATAGACACACTCCATAGAATGGTTAAATTAATTTAAATCTATTTATAGATAAAATAAATTCTTAGATAATTTTTGTAATAAATAGTAGTGATAGTTTGTTTAATGATGAAGAGCTATTCAATATAAATTAATGGATAGTATCTCAAGTTGAATTTTAATATAAAAAAAAATCAATAACACTTAAGAAGGAGATTAAATTATCATTAGAAATAACAAATCATTTAATTAATATATTAAGTGATTAATAATAACATCTTGAAATTTCTTCTTTTAATAATGGTACTGAATTCAAATTCAAATTAATCCTAAAAGATAATAATAAAACAACACATGGATCATAAGAATAATTCACTATTGGCTTCATGCTAAAACAAAAGAGTAACAAAAGTGTAAAAATTGGGACTACTATATAAAATACTCGTAAATCTATGTTCATTTAACATGAATCAATATCACCTTTAGATTCTTTCAAAGTCATCAATGAATCATCAGCAAATACACCAATAGTTATTCCAATTAATTAAGGAAAAATGTACAAAAGTTCTGCCACTTTAAAAAGAATTAGATCATCTTTTGCTAATAAAGGATTGATGGACTATGATAAGAAAATCTTGATTGTTGACGATGAGCCATTTAATCATGACATATTAATTTTAATGATGAAGAATATGGGATACAATTATTTCTTAAAAGCATTTAATGGTCAATAAGCAATTGATTTAATTAAGGAGAAAGAAGAAGAAATATCTATTATAATTATGGATTTAGATATGCCTATAATGGGAGGAATTGAAGTATATATATAGTATAATAATTATGAAGACTACAAAAATTTTAGTAGAAATGATGCTAGATTAAAACCTAGGTTATATTCCAATAATTGGTTGCACTGCTCATGATGATAAGGAAACTATGGACAAATGTATATAAGCTGGAATGCTCTATGTTGTTGTAAAACCAGTGTTTGTTAAAACTCTAAGAGATGCTTTCTAACAAATAATTAATATTGATGATACTAAAAGAAGATCCTTATTGTGTCTTACTTCTTAATTTCAAATTTGATTTTTATATATTTATTATTTACAATACTAAAATGCTTAAAGCAATAGAACATAATGTGATACTCATTTTTCTACTACAATTAGTTTCAATTCCATTTTCAATTGTTGAACAGAAATACTATTTGTTAATTTTGAATTTGATTGAAGTTTTATTGATCATAGGTATACACTTAATATTTTATGTTAAGTACATTTAATCACTATAAAATTAGACTGTCTTATTTTTCATTCAAAAGTGATACTATTACTATTTTTATTAGTAAGATAATTAGCTATATTTGGAAATACAGATTTCTGGATAGTCATTTATATATACAATTAAAAAAAAGACATAAGAATTCTCAATTAATTCGCAGTTATTTCTATGTTTATTTTTTGTATCAGTCAATTTGATAGTGTTCACATTAAATCATACTAATAAACTATTACAGAATTAGGAGTTTTGTATTTGTTTGATATATATTTACAGTATAGAAATTATAAGAAAGGAGAAAATTATAATTCAAATGAGTTTTTTCGTCAATTTAATATTAATCATTAAGAAATTAATAAACATTATAACACTGGAAAATAACTAAATGTGAATCATCTAAATAAAGAGAAGAAGACTATATCAATGAATTAAAGCTATATGAATGAAGCTCATTATTAAATATATTAAGCTTAAGATTCAATTCCTAGTCTAAAAGATATATTTTATCCAGAATGGAAGAAAACTTACTTCTGTTATTCAACTGAAGAATTATTATAAGTTTATGATAAGGAAAATTCTAATTTATTTTATATTCTTTATATAACAACAGAAAAAAATAGCAAATAAATATATAGAGTATAAATCACAAGAAATAAGGTTTAAGATTATATTTTAAGATTTACAAAATTGGATAGTCTCTTATATTTTAAATTAAAAGGATCAAAAAGAAGATTTAGATAACATTTATCTTAAATCTTTTCTCATAAACTCAAAACTCCATTAAATTAAGCATTGGCAAAGATAACATCTATGTTGACTGATGGTAATGTGTTACCATATCAAAAGTTAATACTCTCATAAATTTATATTTAATAAAAGTGTTAATTATACAGCATTTTAGATTTTCTAGATTATGTTAATTTAGATTCTATGACATTTCAACCTTCTCGTGTAACATTAAATTAAATAATTTAAAATGTAAGAGATTTGATTAGAGAATAATGCAAAGCTAAATCAATTGAATTAAATATATTTATAGAAAAATTGCAATATAAAGATTATAAAGGGTATATATATTTATTTAAAATATTGTAGAATTATTGTTTTATAAACTGATTCATTAAAATTAGAAAGAATTCTATATAATTTATTAAATAATGCATATAGACATTCAAATTAAAATGGAACAATACATTTATCAGTAGAATTAATTTAAGGCACATTAAATTTTAGTATAAAAAATTCTGGTATAGGGATATCTAAAGAAATGATGGGAGATTATAATTTATAATTTCATTATCATTAAAATCCTTCTAATTCAATTAAAAGATCATGGAATCATAAATTAGGAACTACTTTATATGTAACCAATAAATTAGTTCATTTATTAAATGGAAATAAGGGTAATTTAGAAATATTGAAATAAAATGAATCTGAATTTAAATTTTCAATTTTATAAGAATTGAATATAAATAGAGGTGTATCAGAAATAGCATTAGGAAGTTTAAGTTCTGATCGATCAGAAATGAATGTATTAATAAATTAGTAAGATCATATGGATGAAATTTAAGAAGATATTGATTAAGTAGGAAATGAACCTAAGAGTTAATAAATAAAAATAGAATAATTGAAACATGTTAAAAATATTAAATAATCAATAGTATAACCTTAATCTTAAAGTAAACATTCATTATTGTAAAATAAAAGATCTTCCTCTATTTTTGATGTGAATTCTTTTCTAAGATAATTTAGTTTTAAAGATGCTGGAATAGAATCTAATTAAGAATTAATAATAGATAAAGATTTATTTATAATGATTGTTGATGATGAACCATTCAATCATGATACTTTAATTATGATGTTAAAAAGAATTGGATATATTAATTTTATTCATGCTTATGATGGTAGAGAATGTATCAATAAGACTTAAGAAAGTCATTTAAAAATTAAATTAATTTTAATGGATTTAGACATGCCCATTTTAAATGGATTTAAGTAATAAATAAATATCAATTCAGAGCTACTTAAGTACTCAAGGAACTAATGAACACTAATTAAATAAAGAAAATACCCATTATAGCATGTACTGCTCATGATGATTATGAGACCGAAACATAATGTAAAGCTCTTGGAATGTTAGATATCATCATTAAACCAGTCTTTATAAAATAACTCTAAACTGTAATTAGAAATATTCCTAAGACTTTATGATTCTTTTTATAATATTAAATATAAATATTATTTATATACCAAATATTCAAATATATCATTTACATTTGACATATATTGGACTACTTGTTGGTTATTTTATACCTACTACAAAATGTTTTAATTATATTGAATTGCACAATTCTTCATCAATTTCAGAACCTTCTGATGTATCATTTTCGAAACTAATTTTTCTACTTGAATTTACTCCTTTAGATGGTGAACGAACACTCCTTCTTTAAATTAAAATTGATCTTAATTTTATTATTGGTTTAGAAGAATAATTATGATAAATCATACGATTACTTTTTTCAACTTATTAAAAGATAGAGATCATATAATCATAATCTGGATCTTCTTCAAATTATAATCCTTTAACATAATCCATATAAATTTATAATTAAATAGGTAATCCAAACAATTCATCTAATTTTAATGATTTTTTCATTTTCTTTATCTTAGAATATCTAATTTCTTTTTCTTAATCACAAATATGCGACCAAGGCAAATCACCTTAATGTAAATAAATGAGCATATAACCAACAGATTCGAGATCATCTCTTCTTGATTATTCAATACCTTTTAAAGCATTAATTGAAGCATATCTAGCAGTACCAATCATTCCCTTATTTTCTCTATAACTTATATGATTTCCATTTATGATATATTTTTTTGATAATCCGAAATCAATCAAATTTATTCTTCCTTGATTCATCACAAAGTTCTCAGGTTTAATATCTCTATGAATTACTCCTTCCGAATGGAGCTCTTTCAAAAGCTACAATATTTCTAATCCAATTGGTAAAATCTTATTGAAAATACCTTTATTTTAACGAATTTATTCTAAGTTTTCTCCCATCAAATTCATTACAAAATATGTATTATGTAAATCTGAACCTGATGCAAATAATTATGTAAATCCTCAAAAATAATAAAATTATTAAACCATACCTTTCTTGCCTTTAAGTTATTACAAAATTTATATTTCTCTTAATAACAACTTTTTTTCTTTTTTCATTGAATTTTTTACTAGTTTACAGGCATATATTTATCCACTTGAAATATGTCTGACTTTCCATATGTAACCAAAAGCACTATTTTATTTTATAATATATACCCTTAACCTAATTTATCGAGAAATTAATAGGAAGAAGAAGCTGGCTACTTAAATGATTTTTGATTGGCAATCATTTATTTGATATCTATTATTTTTTAAATTATTATAAATTAAATTATCTTCATATATGATTATTATTATTATATTAAGACTTAAATAATCTTCGAAAATCAATTTATGACAATATTATTCTCAATTAGTTCCTTCCTTATAAATAATCAATAAAAGAGAAGCCAAGAAAATTGAAGACATTAATCTTTGATTTCTAGAATAACAAAAGAATAAACAAGTAAAATCGTATTGATAATATGTATCAAAGGGAAAATTTGATTTTGTTCTCTTCTTATCCATCTTCTGAAAAAAATAATTGTCTCTTAATTGCATTTAATTCTTAATCATTATAGTTATTGGAGCAATTCTTTCTTTTCTTAGGTGCTTATGGCAATATTAGCTATTTCTGCTTTTTCTCTGGAGTTCTTTAATTCATGATAAAAATTAATAAATATAATGAATTTATAATTTTTGCATATCCTTAATTTTGATTTGTTTAGTATAACCATTTTACTATTACTTATATACTTATCTAATATTCTTAGATGTATTGATATTTAAAGCTATTATCATAAAATTAAAAAAAATATTTTAAATATAGTTAAATACTTAATTTAGTGAAATCTCTTGAAAAGAGTAAATGATAAATCAATAATATATATATATATAAATAACTTAATCTTCATATCTTATTTCATTTAAAAATTGATTATCTTATAATTGAGTATATGATCTATATACCTTTTGTTATTCTAAATATATTAATTCACTTGGATTAATAGAGAATTCTTGAAAGAAAGTAATAAATTATATAAAATTGTTTAGATTTAATCTTTATTATATATATTTTTAAAAGAATTTAATGCAAATTTTACAAGAAGATAATGATAATAGTTTACAATTATTATAAGATATTATATAATAAAAACATTATTAATTTTGAATTAATCAATTATCAAATAAATGATTTTCATCATTGTCATTAATTACTTATTATTTATATATATATATACCATCTTTTTTCTCGCTTACTTGGTTTTAGATTTAATCTTCAAAATCGATTTAATCGTTATCTAATGGTTATTTTGCAGCAGACTCAATTCCCTATAATGGTAATGCTTCTTATTCAATATTTTAAGTTACTACTAATTTTGGTTGAGGCTACATAATTATCTATAATAATACTTGTGGTGGGATCAATTCTTAGGAAATATGATATTAACCTGATCTTTCATAAATAATTCCACTTTCTTCTGCTTAAGCTAAAAATTTATGAACAGTTTATTCTTCAACAGTATTTGTATAGAACAAACTTAAATTATTTGTAATATCCTTTAATGTTGTAGATGTTCCAAATGAAGCTATAACATTAATTACATTTTATTGTAATTCATTTGGGAACTATTAATTAGGAGTTTCAGGGTAATATAATTTATCTAGATTCATATAATTATATACTGAATCTTTCTTTTGTAACCTTTGGTTTTTTTTCTTATTGTTATTTTTTTCCTTTTTTAATAGGAGATTGAGGAGGTGATACAGATTTTTCAACTGGTTCATCATTAACTTTTGTTTTTTTAGTCTTTTTTATTTTTTTGTCAACAACTTCTGTTTATTTAACTTGTTCTTATTTGGTTTACTTTCCTTTTGGCATAAGACTTTTTTGATGATATAATTTAAATATTAACTAAAAGCGGCAAATATTTGTATAGATTATAATCTTATTTATTATTGAATTGGCCAATAATATTGTAGATAATGAGTGATAAGAAAAATACTATCATACCATAAAATAACAATCAAACAGATGATCCTAATTATGCATTGCAAATGTAAATTATTGCATTTTAAGATTAAACCATTAATAATTTAAAAAATATTATCATTGAAAAAGATTCTGAACTTTAAGTATGATCTATAATTTAATAGAAAAAAAATCAAGAAAATGCTTAGTTAAAATAACAAATACAAATGATTGAAAAATAATNGAAATCTCTTGAAAAGAGTAAATGATAAATCAATAATATATATATATATAAATAACTTAATCTTCATATCTTATTTCATTTAAAAATTGATTATCTTATAATTGAGTATATGATCTATATACCTTTTGTTATTCTAAATATATTAATTCACTTGGATTAATAGAGAATTCTTGAAAGAAAGTAATAAATTATATAAAATTGTTTAGATTTAATCTTTATTATATATATTTTTAAAAGAATTTAATGCAAATTTTACAAGAAGATAATGATAATAGTTTACAATTATTATAAGATATTATATAATAAAAACATTATTAATTTTGAATTAATCAATTATCAAATAAATGATTTTCATCATTGTCATTAATTACTTATTATTTATATATATATATACCATCTTTTTTCTCGCTTACTTGGTTTTAGATTTAATCTTCAAAATCGATTTAATCGTTATCTAATGGTTATTTTGCAGCAGACTCAATTCCCTATAATGGTAATGCTTCTTATTCAATATTTTAAGTTACTACTAATTTTGGTTGAGGCTACATAATTATCTATAATAATACTTGTGGTGGGATCAATTCTTAGGAAATATGATATTAACCTGATCTTTCATAAATAATTCCACTTTCTTCTGCTTAAGCTAAAAATTTATGAACAGTTTATTCTTCAACAGTATTTGTATAGAACAAACTTAAATTATTTGTAATATCCTTTAATGTTGTAGATGTTCCAAATGAAGCTATAACATTAATTACATTTTATTGTAATTCATTTGGGAACTATTAATTAGGAGTTTCAGGGTAATATAATTTATCTAGATTCATATAATTATATACTGAATCTTTCTTTTGTAACCTTTGGTTTTTTTTCTTATTGTTATTTTTTTCCTTTTTTAATAGGAGATTGAGGAGGTGATACAGATTTTTCAACTGGTTCATCATTAACTTTTGTTTTTTTAGTCTTTTTTATTTTTTTGTCAACAACTTCTGTTTATTTAACTTGTTCTTATTTGGTTTACTTTCCTTTTGGCATAAGACTTTTTTGATGATATAATTTAAATATTAACTAAAAGCGGCAAATATTTGTATAGATTATAATCTTATTTATTATTGAATTGGCCAATAATATTGTAGATAATGAGTGATAAGAAAAATACTATCATACCATAAAATAACAATCAAACAGATGATCCTAATTATGCATTGCAAATGTAAATTATTGCATTTTAAGATTAAACCATTAATAATTTAAAAAATATTATCATTGAAAAAGATTCTGAACTTTAAGTATGATCTATAATTTAATAGAAAAAAAATCAAGAAAATGCTTAGTTAAAATAACAAATACAAATGATTGAAAAATAATATTCACAATAACAAATGTCATAATAATAAGATAATTCAAATATTTCAAATTTACAATCTTAACATCAGAAAACTTTAGATGAACTAAAAAAATTGAAAATGATTTTCAATTAGAATTCTAATCCAGATATTGTTATGGAATCACTTTAAATTAAGTAATTATTATATATATATATCTATAGAGAATAATTAGTAATAATTTAACAATAAAAAAATAAACTTGAAATTGAATTAAAAGTATAATATATATAATATCAATAGGAAGCATAAACTAGATTGATTCAAACTTAAGGAATTATTTAAGAACTATAACGAGAAAATTATCAATTAAAGTCATTTTCAATGCCATCCTTCTCAAATAATTCTACTATATAATAACCTAACATTAGTTAAAGTTAATTTTTATAATAATAATAATATCCATCTAAGTAATTGGTTTATATATATTATTAAGTTAAAATAATGAAGAAAATTAAAGAAATTTAAGAAAAATTCAATTAAAAAATGAATTAAGATAGATACCTACTTAAAATAGAACATAAGCATAATAAAGAAGAATTTAAATAATAGAAGATGAATTAAATTACTTAGAATAGTTTTGATATATATATAAAAAAATATAAATTGTATTAATCAGAATTATTAGTTTTTATTTTATTAAATAAAATGAGCAATGATTATAATTATATGTTTAAGTACATTGTAGTAGGAGATACAAGTAAAGATTTAAATAAACCAATTAAAGATGTTGGAAAATCGTGTTTATTATTGTAATTTACAGAAAATAAATTTTGTGATCATACAGAGAGTACAGTAGGTGTGGAGTTTGGTTATAAAACAATAAAAATAAATGATTAATTGATAAAGCTTTAGATTTGGGATACAGTAATAAATAAACTATAATTAAATAGGCAGGTTAAGATTCATTCAAATCGATTACAAGATCTTATTATAGAGGAGCTATTGGAGGATTACTTGTATTTGATTTTAGTAGAAGATCAACATTTGAAGACATTAAAAAATGGTTAAAAGAAATAAAAACATATTCTTGTGATAAAATTGAATTAGTACTTGTTGGCAATAAATCAGATATACTTAAAAAAGATATTAATATTGAAGAAGTAGAAGAATATGCATAATAAGAGAAATTAGACTTTTATGAAACTTCAGCTAAAACTGGAAAGAATGTAGATGTTGTCTTTGAAAGTATAGCAAATAAAATTTTAAGAAAAATCGAAACTAAATAAATTAATTTAGATGATTAAGTATATTTATTCCATAAAAAATAGATGTTAGGAATTAAAGTTAATATTAATGGAAAAATGAAAAAAAAAACTAAATCTCAAAATAATTAATCTCCATATTATAATATAACATTAAATGGATAATAAAGTGAATCAAATAAGAATGATAAAAAAAATTGTTGTTGACATTTTTACTTAATTATCTTAATTTTTGATATTTATTATGTATTAATATCGAAATACATCTTAAGAAGAGTATTTCATTAAACTTATTATTTAATTAAATATATAAACCATCTGATTCATCCATTAAAGACATCTGTTTATTATATTGTCTTAATTCATATTTCATAATATAATTGAAAGTCTTATTTATTCCTATTACTATAATATTACAGATGATCAAAATAAAGTAATTCAAAATCAAATTCTTAGGATTTGAATCTGTAAAATTAAATGGAATTGGCGATTTTATCAAAGAATAATTAGATTATTATTAAAGTCTTACTACTTCTTCATATATTGCTCTCTTCATTCCATTAAATTTTATTGACTCAACATGATATAAGATTGATACTTATTCTTATGATCGAATACAAGTTGGTTATTGATCCACTATTCCTATTTAATTTTTATTACATCTTAAACTATTTATATTTGGTGACCACATTTATGATGAACCTTAATCAAATATCATTTAACAATCATTTATAGTATTATTTTCAATTTAATATTAAGTCTTTAAATAAGAACTCTGAATTGGCCTACATATTAATAATTATAAAAGTTTTATAATTTCAAAGTATTATTTTGTTACTATTGATTTGTGTAAAAATTATCAATTAAGAAGGAACTTAATTTTATATACTTATTTGATATCTAAACTATTGTATATTTGGGTAAAATAAAGTGAATACATGCTACACTAATTAACAAATTAAACTATTATCATATATAAATTATATACAAATCATTATAACATTCTATACTAGGTTTGAGGTTTAGAAATTAATA